TGTGTGTGTGTGTGTGTGTGTGTGTGTGTGTGTGTGTGTGTGTGTGTGTCTTTACGTGCTCACGTGCGTCTGTAAGTTGAAGGTGCCAGTTCTCTCCTTTTACCATGTGTGTTTTGGGGACAGAACTCAGGTAGCAGATTTTGCAGATTTGGTGCAAGAATGTTTACCTACTAAGCCATCTTGCTGGTGCTTACAATTCTTCTTTAGTTTTTTGAGAGACTCTCATAGCCAAGGCTCCTCCAGTGCTCCCAGACCTGCTCCCAGCACCTTCCTAGTGCTGCTATTGTGGGCTTGCATCACAGTGCCTGGCTTATGTAGTGCTGATGACTGAATGGAAGGCCTACTGCAGACATTGCCTACTGATAGAGTATAGGTTAAAACATTTAGATGCCAAGTGATCAAAGTGAAGATAGCGTTTAAATAATGAAGCATGGAGTTACAAAATGTAGCAAGCTTTAGGATAGGTTCCAGGTAAGCACATTTTGAAGGATGTATATGTAGCTTAACCATTTCTGCATGTTCACATTCCTTTTCCCAGTTAGGTGCTCAGGCGCCTTTGTAGACTTACTGTGTTTTGGCACTAGGTGGCCCAGTGGTCGTGATAACAGTAGAGACTGAAAACCAACTCAGTGGATTACTGTGTGCCCTGTTCTCTGTGGTGTTATAGGTGTGTCACATCTCTCTATTCATGGCAGCCCTGGCAACTAATGGTACCTTTGATCTCTGCTTCGATGAGGCTTAGGAGAATCTGTGTAAGATGTCAGTAGTGAAGAGGCTCTGTCCACTTCATGATCTTTACTCAGTGACAACAGAAAACCCACGAGCTGAGCATATGGTTTATGCCTGTGATGTGATTTATACACTGGGGAATTTGAAGCAGCATTGCTGTGAGTTTGAGACCAGTCTGAGCTACATAAAGAGACCCTGTCTCCAAAGAAACCAAAAACCTAAAAATAATAAAAATCAACCAAATCAAAAAACAAGGTAGAATGTCTAGGTCATATATACAATCCTAGCACTCAGGAGGTGAAGGCAGAAAGTCTGTCTCAGAAAACAAGATAAAACCAAACAACCAGATAGGTGTATTTGAAAACCACTGTGATGTAGCTGTTTGCTTTGAATGTTAGTGGGTCAGCTAAATAACACATTTGATAATTGTAATACCTGCTTTCTTAATTCATACTTGTATTTAATGACTGTGCATAGTAAAGATAGTTACAGTATGGGTGTTGCAGAAACATAGTGGTGAATGCTTATCCTGGGGGCCAAAGGAGATGGGCAATGGGTAAAGGTGCTTGCCATCCAGCCTACTGACTTGTCTTTGATCCCCAGAACGTATGTGGTAGAAAGAGAGACCCAACTCCCTGGAGTTGTCCTCTGACCTCCACAGGTTTGCTGTGGCTTGTGCTTGTTCATGCACACACATATACATAATAAGATAAACGTTTAAAAGAAAAACATTACCCTGGATTGTTAGAGCACTGAAAATGAATTTTGCATTTTTCCTTCTTTAGCTGCAGCCAGACCAAGTTGAAGGAGGTGGAGCCAGCAGCATGCAGCGGAACAGTGAAGGGTGAACAGTGCTCTAACAAGGCCCTTCCCTTCACCAGACATTGTTTCCAGCGTATCCTTTTTAACTACATTAAGCAGGCATTGGCGTTACTAACTCCTTTGGGGCTATGTGCTTTTTAGTTTTGTTTTGTTTGTGAACTCATTCTTAGAACAGGCTGGGATCTCTCTGCCTTTGCCATCCCCGCCCCCATTAAAGGCGTGCACTACCACTGCCTTGCATGGGGCTTTGTGCTTTCAACCCTGTGGTATTGGGAGTTGAAGTCGAGTCTTCCACATGCTATTCAGCTGCTCTCCCACTGTACTTCATTTTACAATCAAGCGGGTGCTCCCTGCTGTGCTTCTTCGTGAGGTGGTTTCACTGTAGAGGTGAAGTTCGTCTTAAACGCAGGAGTCTCCTGCCTCAGTGTCATCACTGTTGAGATTCCAGGTGTCCACAACTACCCTGTCTGACAGAAAACAAAACAAACAAACAAAAACCCTTGTGAAATAAAAGCTATTCCATGTTTAGAATAATTTCTCATTTTCATATAGTCCTGAACAATTTTCTGGTTCTGTCATTGTGCTTACTCTTTAAATTTGTCTATACTTCAGCGTATTCTCATTACACTGTTTGGAAAGGCAAGACTTGTAAGTGCACAGACTTGAGCTCTTTCTTTGTCTCACAGGAGGAGGGACCGGGGTCTGTGCTAGAGTTGAAGGTCTGCCTGCTAAGCAGAGCAGCAAAGCAGGTTGAAGTAGTTCTTATTAGAATGGAATGGGATGCTGGGCCTTTAGGGACATTCACCCTGAAACTATAATGATTGTTGATGGGGGAAGTCAAATCACTTCTTTTATTGTTTGTTTTTCAAGACAGGGTTTCTCTGTATAGTTCTGGCTATCCTGGAACTCGCTCTGTAGACCAGGCTGGCCTCAAACTGAGGCTCTGCCTCCTAAGTGCTGAGATTAAGGACATGTACCTGGCACTCTATTCTATTTTTTAATTTATTTATTTACTTATTTATTTATCTGCTTATCTCTATCTGTGTGTGTGTGTGTCTGTCTATCTATCTATCTATCTATCCATCTCTATCTATCTATCATCTATCTCTCTATCTCTATTCATCCTTCCATCCATCTCTATCTCTATCTCTCTGTCTATCCATCTATCCATCTCTATCTATCTATCTATCTATCTATCTATCTATCTATCTATCTATCTATCTATCTATCTATC